TCCACACTTCCACTCTCACTCAGTCTATCAATTTGGCAAAATGTATATGATATATTACACAGCAGGTTTGAGGAACAATGAAGAATGTAGCATGGTTAATTGAGTGACCACCTTATTAGAATTAAAAACTGTTTACATAAGTTTGAAAGCAAAAGTTTATCTTTATTGGGATTTGTGAGATAGCTCAAAGGACTGAGTGCAGGTTTTGCACACCACATTCTTGGTTTCGTTCCCCATCACCCATGATTCTCCAGAATTCACCAAGCTGGAAGTAGTCCTTGAACACTGCAAGACATGGCCCTCAAAACCAACCCAACAAAACAATAAATACATGTTTGCCCTTCTCTTAAGGGATAAGAATGACAAAATTAAATTTTTGTCCTTATTTAAAATAGTCACAAGCAACCAAGTCAAGTTTTAGGAGGCAAAGACTGGTTAAGAAAGAAAGATACAAAATAAAATAGAAACTAAACTCTGAGAGATGGGGAGAGGAGCATCTCATCCAGGAGCTAGTTGGGAAACAAATTCATCACCAAATCTCCCCTGGGCCTGGTCTTTGTTCTAGGAAGAGGAGAAGCCAGAGAGATGGAAGATGTCCCAGGCCCCATTGTCTTTACCCAGCGCCTGACTGCAGAATAGAAATAATGACAGAGCAGCTAAGGAAATGCTTCCTAACAGTTCAAAGTCAGCAAGGTGACTCTGAATTGTCCTGGTCTAGCCACAGCCAGAATCAAGAAACTGAATTTAAGGAGACCTTAATTTGATGAAGGGCGAGCAAAGCCACTTCTGAAATAATTTCCTCAATCATCAAATTATACTTTGCTTTTATCAAGGACATTACAAAAAAATACAAGTAGGACTCCAGGCAAGTTTGAGAAGTCCTGGTGAGAGGAAACAGCTTAAATTAATGGGGTGGAAGTTTAGACAGTGAAAAGACCAGCAAGGCAGATGTAGCCAGACAACATGTCATGAGCCCTGTGGTTCATATGCAGTACCTGTCTTGCTAAGAGGAATTTTGACTGATTGCATGAATTGATAGGAGTTCAGTCAGGAGAAAAGAAAAGACATGCACTGGCACTGAAGTGGAAGGGTCAAGTCAAACCCTACAAAAATGCTCTCTGACCACTGCCACTGGCCTGTCCCATCATCTATGTGTCCTTTCCATGTTGCTGTGACTTGCCTGTAACTAGTTGCCTTAAGGGCCTTTACCTTTCCTCAGCATCTTTTCCTAAGATCAAATTGGGAAAGAGGAGGGCAATAAGTTGAAATAAAATGTAGATGTGAATTGTTTGCTTAACAGAAAGGACAAGATTGTCCAATCTCAGCAAGGCTGCAGGGCATGGTGGCACCATCTTGCTCCTGTCTAATTTGAACTTTTAGGAGGGCAAGCCCTCTAGCTTCTTCTGACTGTAAGTCTATGCTTAGAAAAATTATTGGGTTGAGCTCTACTTTCCAGTCAGAACAAACTCCCTGACCGCCCACCTACCCTGTATTCTAAGCCCCATATTCAACCCCTCTTTTTGTAGTAAGTTGCTGAAACAGACAGATAGACAAAGATTGCAATGAGGTCTTGGAAAGTAATAAAATCAAGATGGGATTTAAAGAGTTTTTCCTGTCACTAGCCCCAAAGTAGCAAGAAATGAGGGTATTGTTCCCACTCAAAGATAACAATATCAAGATACAATCTTATTAAATGGCAAAACAAAAGTTAGAGATTATTCCTAAAATGGCAAGAGAAGTCTCAGTTCTGCTACAAAAGAAAATACATAAAACTCATCAGATTTCACAAATGAAACTCTACAAACAAGAAATGAAATGAGTAGCCAAAGGACTAAATAAAAAAAAGCTCACAACCATTAATTCTCTACCCTGAAGTTATCAATCAGATTTGACAGTGTGATATAAACAATCTCAGACAAAAGCTGATGAAGGCAGTTGTTGCATCTAAAGCAACTGTACAGACAACTTAATGGATTCTTATAAACAAACAAAATGTTTAATGGCAAAAATGACCAAAGTACTCAGAAAAATGACAACAAATTTATACCAATCATTTCTCTAAATATTAATGGACTATGGGCTGTATTTTTCCCCAAAGGTATGGTGTAACTGGATGAATCAGGAAACAAATTCAACCCTTTGTTGCTTACAGGGGAAACAAGTAAACTGTCATGATAAACACAAAGATGACACTGGAGTGGAATTATTTTGGAGCATTATATGTTCAAACTCATAAACAATTTTGTAAATTGTATTGGCCTAAAAAAAGCATCACATGACTTTAAAGTGCACTGTAAAGCTATAGTAACCAAAACTATGTGGTACTGGACAAAGGATAGGTTTTTCACATTAGCAATATAGTATTAAGAGTCCTAAGATAAACCCTCAATACTAAGGCCAGTTAATGTGTGACAAATGAGGAGAAGAAATTAACAAATATTTCTTTGGGTGAATGAGAAGGAGTTCATGAAATGTATGACTTGGGTGCATGAAATGGGGCAAGGGAACTATCTTCAACAAATGGTTCCAGTAAAACACTATAGTCATGCAAAAAAAAAAAAAAGAGAGAGGGGAATAATAAAAGTAGTTTATAGCTCACACCATGCCTAAGTTAATTCAAGAGGATTAAAGACCTTCACTGGAATCCACAAAACAAGTGGCTAAAAACATAGGCAGAACTTTCTAGAATATGGACTTCAGAGGTGTTTTAAATATTTTCACTCCATTGATAAAGATAATAAAACAAACACAGGCAAATAAATTTAACTCCATCAAATTAAAACACTTTTACCTGGTAAAAGAAAAAGGGCCAAAATTAAGACACCTACCAAATGTGATAAAATATTTGCACTCAATAGTCAGTTGAAGAGCTAATATCCAAGATTAATGCATTAATAAATAAATTAATAAATTATGCACAAAGCTCAACAACAACAAAAACCAATCAGCCCCATCAAAATATAGGGAAAGTAGATTAACACACATGTACTGAAATGAAACTTTGGTGGCTAGTAGGCATATAATAAAGTGCTATTTGTTATCAGGGAATTGAAAAATCAAAATAACAGTGAGATATTATCTAACATCAGTGAGAATGGAATACATCAGAAAGACTGGAAGTATTCAATGCTGTAGGGATTGTAGTAAAAAAGAAACACTTGTTCTCTATTGGCGGGGATGTCATCTAGTTCAACCTCTCTGGAAAACAGTATGAAGATTTCTACTAAAAGGTAATAAAAGAAATTTCGTATGGTCCAGCAGTTATACTTCTTGGCATCTACCCCTAAAAACACAACAATGTTAATTTGAAAAAAATAAATGCATATCTATGTTCATTATCGAAGCACTTAGTTTCCAGGATATGGAAACAAATCAAATGTCTGTGACAAATGAGTGGATAAAAAAACTGTGGCACAGGATACTATGTAGCAACAAAATGGAATCTTACAGCCCACTGCAAGTTAGATAGAAATGGAGAGCAACAAATTAAGTGAACAAAATAGAGAAAGGACAAATGCTAGATTCTCATTTGTGGCATAGAGAAAGTAAAGAAGGGAATTGACAAACAATGAGAAATCCTTGGTCTTGGATTATAAAATTAAGATTTTTTTTTTCAGGCTGAATTGTGGGTCTAGGGGAATGAAGAGGCAGTTAGAGGTAATTGGGATATTGGTGGAAGGTAATGGGCACTTTGGTAATGGGTACTACTGCCCCTCAGCTCTGTGTGTGCAGCTGCACCTATACTGTCATAAACATGATATTTAAATTACAACAAATAAACCCAGGGACTGGATTGTGTGATATATAACATTTCTGATATTTTAATATTTTATATCAAATGGACAAAGAACACAAATAAGTAATTCCTATACTCTTAGAAAACACTTGAAAAAATATCAAACCATTTAATCAAAGCTGCACATATTGAAACACTGAACCAGAAAAGTTTATTTCAAGAAGGAAGAGATTGAAACTCCTCAATCAGGGAAGAACTTAGTATAAGACTAAGTTTGAAAAACTGATCACTTTTAATCTCTCTGATTGGTAAAGCATTATTTAAAAATGGTGCCACGTTTCAAGGAATAATCAAAGCACTTTTTTTGTTCTTTATGTTTTGGTCACAATTCAGCACTGCTCGTGGCTTCTCTTGGCTCAGCTCAGGGATTGTTCTTGACAAGACTCTGGAGACCATATAGGGTTCCAGGGATTCAACCTGTGTTGGCCATGTGCAAGGCAAGAGCCCTACTCTCTGTATTATCTCTTCAGTCCTGAAAAAAATAAAGTTCTTATTTTCTAAAGTATGCCTTTCTAGAATAACACTTGCAAATACATAGGATTCTTAAAATGAGCATCATGCTAGATCTACAAATTCTAAAAAGAGTTCTGAGAAAATAATCAGTTACTTATGAACAATGTTAAGTACAAAGACTTTTTTTTTGCAGAATTACTTATACTATCAAAACAAATCAAAGAATGTCTTACACCTAACACATATCATGTGACTCATCACGGTAAACGTGAGAATACTGAAAAGATGCAGAATCAGTATGTATAGTCTACACACACACACACACACACACACACACACTTAAAATTCAACACTCTCATGCATGTGCAGAGGGCCCCTCTTTTAGAGGTCATCTTGCTACCAAGTAAAGTTTGTGGGTTTGATATGCAGAAAGGCCATATTTGGCTATCATGACTACAGGACAAAGATACCATTGTTTGGTTTACTTGCTGAGGCAGCTCACCCACTGGTACTGTGTGTCCATTTTCTGTTCTCCCAATCCTGTCCTGATATACACATTCAGTAAATATCATGTCCCATTCCTTACTCCACTTTAGAGGAGTCAATCTTAGTATATTGAGGTTTCAAAAAAACTCTGGTGGCCTGCGTGGCTCCTCACAGGACATTAGGACCAACAGGTGATCTGTAGGGATGGAGAGAGAGTTGGTAAATAAAAAAGACCCTCTGAGGGTCTGAACTGATGGCCTCTTACCTGATGATTGTCAGGGGAATGAAGTACACAAGGAAAGCAACGATGGTCATGTATGGCGTCCAGTAGGAGTCATCAGGCCACAGGGCCCAGCACTGCACTTCACCATTGGAGAGCTTTCTTTTTCCAAATATGATCAGAGTGGGAATGGAGAACAGGAATGAGAGGCTCCAGGCAATCATGATAAGGACCTTGGCTTGCTTTTCTGCTCAAAGGAAAGAGGAATAACTGGGTATCTGGAAACATTCTTGGTGTCCAGTGTAGAAAAGGATCCCAGTGGGAATTGAACTCAGGACCTCTCAGAATTATCTCTATTTTCAGGTGTCAGTGAGACTGGCAAAGCCTGCATAATACTAATGTAGGGTTGGAAACAGTGTTTGCTCAGAGCATAGTAACTTCCAGAGCATAGAAAAATGTTCCCATTTTCTATGTTTTTCTTATTTTGTGATTTACTCACCTGACTTGCAAAGCTAATGTATCTATTTCCGTGGTATTATGAAACAGTTTATTTCCATTTATATTTTGATATACTTACATGAAAATACTTTACCTTCCCATCCTCAAATGCAGAGGAATATGCTTTTGTCTATTTTGTATCCTTCTATTGTATCTATTTATTTGAAGCATAGTGACAGTGTTTGAATGCTGTTATCTAAATATGAAAGAATGTTATTTTGTCTGAAATAGTGAGGAGGGATTATAGGACAGAGAAAGAATACTGGCATGGTTTCAGAGAAGAGGTTCATTCAAACCAAACACCAAGGCCTGGTAGCCGTGGCCTTGAAAGATTTGAGATATTTGAAATATAATATTATTGAGGACAAATATTATTGAGGACAAGTTTAAACTTTAGTTCTTCACAAAAGTAGGATTGAAAAAAATTCTGTGGACTAACAGGTCATGATGAGACTGTAGAAAGATAATAAAATTGGTGCTTTTAAAAACCAGCAGTTGTAATAGAATGATTTCTGTTATATAAACAGCTTTCTTATTGAAGCTCAATCATAGTCTAGCTTTGTTACCTTTGCTGATAAGTGCTGGTGGTCTCTATTTTGGGAGACAGGAGATCACTCCTCATTCCCCTAATTTCAATTTGTAAAGCAAACATATGCATCTTTGGGTGAGGCGTAGAGTGTAGTATCAAATGGCAACAGTATAGTTTATATTAAGGAACTGTAAAAATAAGAAAAATTCTGTAAGAAGCGAATTCTTTTTCAAGATTCTATTAGAATCTTGAATCTCAAGTATTTTGGATAATTGTATCTGGGGTTCTATTTTTTACAGAGTTGTATGCACAAGGAAGAGATAATAGAGAGATTTAGTAAACATATTACTGCATCACTAAGAAGACTTGAAGGAGAAATTATTATAATAATTTTTTTGTTTTTCCATTTTATCTTTATATATAAGTAGTGATCAATTAAGGTGGTGGTTCTGCTCCTTTTGAAAATGCAGGGAAGTACCTTAATGTCTGGCACAATATATAGGTGGCTGAAAAATCCTGTTGGCAGAGCCAAAGAGATAGGACAGGGGTTAAGGTACTTGCCTTGACCACTCCTATTCGATCCCTGGCACTATGTGATCTCCTGAACATCACCACATGCAACCCTTGAGGCCTTCAGCACTTCTAGGATGGTCCCACCTGGGTAATCTCTGGCACCACATGCCCAAGATCCACATCTCAGGTCTTCCATTGAACAGTTGGCCTGGTTGGGCGAGAATCACACAGCAAGGGGAATGTCTCCTGAACACTGCTGGGGAACTCACATCCCCCACCTTTAAAAGGAATCCCAACCTTTCTTGTGGAAGTGAGCTTATATTAGGTTAGGTCTTAGAATCTGAAAGGAGAGATCAGTCCTCTGACTCACTGTTTTTGGGGAACTTTTTGTTTTTCAGGGGGTCACACCAGGCAGTTCTCGCAGTTCTCAGAGGTTACTCCTGGCTTTGGACTCAGAAATTACTTCTGGCAGCTTCTGAGGACCATATGGGCTTCCGGGGATCAAACCCTTGTCAGCTGCAGCAAGAAAAGTGCCCTACCCACAACACAATCTCTCCACCCTTTTGCTTGCTATTTTTAGTGTTTCTATTTGGGACTTCTCTAAGTTAATAGGCAAGGAAGAAGAAGGGGAAAGGGTATAGATAAAGCCCTAATTGGTTCTACTGCCACTAGATGACTTTGTGGTTTCCATGCCTAGTTGAGTTTAAAGATGGTCCTTTAACAGTGTTTCTGGTCCTTTAAAAGCAGCATTGTGGCTTCCTCCTGGCTGAAGCTGTTTCTATTGGTCACCTGCCCCTCTTCCTCCAGTTAACCTCTGCTTTCTCCTACTGCACTCTCACTTGCTTTGACAGGAATGTCTGGGACAGAATCAATAGTTGTTTTCTTTGTTTGTTTGCTTATTTTTATTAGTGGAATACTGTGAGGTACAGTTGTTGACTTACAAATTTTTGTGCCTGGGTTTCAGTTATACAATGATTGAACACCCATCCCTGAACCAGCGCCCATTCTCCATCACCACTGATCCCAGTATCCCACCCAACCCCCATCCCCCCATCCCATCCTGCCTTTGTGGCAAGGCATTCCCTTTTGTACTCTCTCTCCTTTGGGGCAGAATCTCTGTTTTTTAAACATGACTCTAAGCAAAGCAGCTCCTTAGATGAATGCTACAAGACACTAGCTTATTTCCTGTCCTTCACTTTTTCAGGTGTGAACTAGTCACTGTTTCAGATTCTCCCAATCTCCAATACAAATGGTATGAACTATATGTGTGTGAGGGCTGGTCTTGGAATCCCGGATCATCACATTTCTGGCTATAGGACTCAAGAGGTTATAGCATTGGATGGTTTGTTTAAGTGGAATTCACTGTGGGATGAGGATAGTGAAGGATAGGACACTGAGAATCTTTAATATCTCCACTGGGTGAGGAGTCGCCATATGGTTGGGTAGAAAAGATCATTGCAGCTAAACTTTATGGAATTCAGGTCCCAGAAGCCGAAAACTCTGGAGCACCCATAGGAGATGGGCAGACTGAACACCTGCCCAGCCAAAGCTCTGTAAGACAGCAGCACTCACACCCCACACTCCAGATGTACCAAGGCCTCAATTGACAATCTCCAAATAACTTCAGGTACCTGGTGAAGAGGCTGAGATCTCAGGGTTTTTTTTTTCAGAGTCTGTGTGGGTAGCCTCCTCCTAACCCCCAGAGTTCTGAAAGCCCCTGCAGCCAGGCCAATCTTCTATAGGTGCTGCCATGTCAACTCTTTGGACCAGACCATAATTCCCTGGACTGCACAGTCATATATGTGGCTGTGCAACACCTTCTAAAGCAACAAATACCTTAATAAATTCTAAGGCAAGGACTTAATAACCCTGTCATCAGGTATAATTTTCACATAAAATTCTTTTCTTTTCTTTTTTTTTTGTAGGAGTACTGCTATTTATTCAGCCACTGATTAGCTGATTGAATTGGGCATGAAATCCACCTTAATTTTTTTTTATAATTTTATTTTTTTCTTCTTATATTTATTTATTGAATCACTGTGGGAAAAGTTACAAAGCTTTCAGGTTTAAGTCTCGGTCATACAATGATCAAACACCTTTCCTTTCACCAGTACTCATTTTTCACCACCAAGTAACTCAATATACACCCCCTCCCACCCCTCCAAATGCCTGTGAGGCAGATGATTTCTACTTAACTTTTCTCTACATTGATTACATTCATTATTTTGACAAAGGATGCGCCATTATTGTTTAGAATTCCGCCCCCCCCCCCCCCGCAACAATCAGAATTGCTGAAAAGGCATTGTGAAATACTTTGTTTTCTATAGCTGGTTATGAAAATCATATAATGATTTTGGATTTCTGCAAAGAGCCAGATAATTACGAGATTGCTTTCTGTGCATCTATTGTTATGGCTGTGCCAGAGAGCCACTCGTGGGGGGCAACTCGTGACCTTGGTAGGGCGTGAAGGACAAGCCGGTACTGCCCCCTTCCCATGAGACTGCAGTTGCCCCATCACTGCCGGTTCATACTTGGCTTTTCAATAAGCTCTGAGGCAGTGACCACCTTGCCGCTGGCGGGGGGAGGTGGAAGGGAGCAACACCCTTTCCCTCCGGGGGAGTCATGGTGCTGTAGTTTAACGCATGGTCCATTCACTTTTCTGCTGCAAGCTGCCAGGCTCTGGATTAAGTCCTTTTGCCTCTGGAGCCATGCCCATTCCAGAGAGCTACTTGCGGGGGGCAACTCGTGACCTCAGTAAGGGTGTGAAGGATGAGCCGGTACCGTCCCCCTTCCCATGAGACTGCAGTTGCCCCATCACCGCCAGCTCATACCTGGCTTTCCTATAAGCTCTGAGGTGGCGGACACCTTGTATGTGGTCCAGATACATTTCTGCCAAAAGTCGCTGGGTTTCGAGATTTGTTTCTGAATCTCTGGGATCATGGACATTAATCAGCTTGATCAAGATCCAGAGAGGCCGTTTGTAGGCAGCAACTCGTGGTCTCGTTGGGATGGGGAGTAAAGGGCCGGTTCCACCCTCATCAAGTGAGGCCGCACATGTCTCATACTGCAGGCCCAAACCTGACTGTACAGTGGCTTCTGGAGGATGGCGGTCACTGGGCTGCCAGGAGGAACAGGCCAAGGCACGAAACCTATTTCCAGCTGGTGTGACCCAGCGCCAGTAACCTACTGCAGAAACAGGATGCATTTCTGCCAAAAGCCTTTGGGTTCCGAGATTCATTTCTCAGTCTCTGGGATCATGACCGTTAAGCAGTTTGATCAGGAACCAGAGAGGCCATGCTTCCAATTATATAGCTGAGCCGGAGATGGTTTGTGGGTGTGTCTCCCATATACCTAACTTTTGGCCATTTACTTTCTTGGTAAACTTTTTCCCAGGTTTTTGGGGTTTGGCCAAAGGCACAGCAGCAATTTTGGGGTATCTGAAAGCCTGATGGTGCCATCAGGCTGCTGATGCACTCGCCTCACAGGTACAGACTGACCTGCTGGTGGCACTATACCCCCTAAAATGATTTTCAATATCTATTGATTTTAATATTGCAGTTTTGTTATCTAATCAATTTTAATTCTAGGATTTTATCAATATTGTGGCTTTTTCTATATTAAAATAAATCTTAAAAAACAAAATTTTTATTTGTAATAATAATAATGAAATAAACAAAGAGCATCTCAGAGTTTATCCTGGTCCAATC